TACTCTCACAGAATCCCCACTTCTTCTCATAGTCATAGTGGTACTTGGTGGCGCACCACAGCCGTCCATCCCCCCGTCCGTCAGTGGTACAGTCCGAGTACTCCTTGTCCATGAAGCGGAAGGGGAAGATGCAGGGCTCTCCATGGGCTGTACCACCATTCACCACAGGAACTGTATGAACAAAATATAAAATGACATCAAAGAAAAAGACAAAATAACTGGATGTTTTATGAAAACATATGTAAACATTTATTAAAAATATAACCCTGTGGGGTACATTTGAAATATTAAAAATGATTGTTTTAGCCAGGATTGCATGCCACATCTCAAATATTGTTGGTGGCCTAGGAATCTCTGTACTGTATAAAACATTAACAAATAATTCAAGGTAACTGCTTTTTTGGGCATATAAAGACCATTACCAAGAGGTGGGTAGCTGGGTATAACTTTAACAAGCTTTCTTTTCTCAACATAAAAATATTGTTATAATAAACCACCCATTTCTCTGGATAAAGGCTTTGGATTGCAGGGTTTGCCCTTCCCTCCTGCCCCATCTGGCATATACAAATGTGTATGGCAGATATGCATGGTTTGTGCGACAGACACTAGAAGTGTGAGAGGATTTAGACTGTAAAACAAGAATGAAACAAGAGGGAAATCCCCCAATGCAAATTGTCCTGTGTTTTTAGAAACATACTATAATAATAATAATAATCAAGATACTCAAATAGACTATGCTGTGATATCCAATAAAATGCTCTGTATACACCTTTTCTCCCCCTCCTCCTGTGTGTCTGTTTGTTTTATTTAGTTTGAAATAGTTTGTATTGAGTGCAAATAAAACTCATAATTGTAAAAAGACACAAATAATATGTTAACATGTCTGCTGTGCTTATTTTAATTCCTTGAAACAATAATTAGAGATGAATAGATTCAAATGAATCAAACAAAGTCTGTTAATTCTAATAACTGCTTGTAAATGCCCATCTTACAAGCTCATTAGTTTATGTGTGTGAGATGCTAGCAGGAAGCTGACAAACAATCCCCAGGTCAAATGATGTAACTGTCTGCAAGAGGAGCCACAGGTGCGAGGCGCTGTTAATTTCTCAGGGGGTTTAACCGTGTATCCAATCTGCCTCTGCCCTGAAACCACAAACACACGCCTCAGCTCAGAGTCAGCAAAAGTGAAAACAGGTCAACATTCACAAAACTCAACAACTCTTCATCCGTAAAAACAGATTCTTATTACAACTATGGGAAGCCTTAAAGGATAGACAACAAAAAACCTGCTTTAAAAGCATCATAATAATAATAAATGTATTTTAGTATGTATCCTGTCCTTTCTACCTGCAACTGCATGCAGCCGCAGTTTCTGTTGAAAGGTCTCAAAGCTGCTCCACTATTCCATCTGTTCCTTGCTTTAATTGGACAGGCAAAAACCACTCTACTCAAAAGTCAGTGAGCTAACAGTGACAGAAGAAATGCCAGCTCATGTCTCACACAGACATTTCAAAAGCCAAGAAAAACATACCATCGCCAGGAACAAGAGCATGTGTTTGGTAGTTAAAATACAGAGGTTCAAATTCAGTTCATAACATTCAGAGTAGCACGTTTAAAAAACAAAACAACTTATTGTCATTATATTGACCTATTGCAATATGAAACACGATTTTGGGGCTATTAAATGTTTTGTATCATTATCATCAATGACATTTATAAAAGATATATTAAATGATTATGGTCTGTAGAATAGTTTATATTTAGCCTTTAACAAATATTGTACTTCCTGCAATCTGAATATTGCACTTTTATTTTGATCAAATATCCATTAGTTGTGCAGCCCTACAACTAATTGCACTCAACATTAAGCCATGTTTAAGCATTCTGCGTACTTGGTTGAACTGAGTGCAAAGCTAGCTAACTAACTAAACCTCTGTTGCTGCACCTAATGAAGCATTTAGAGTTTATCGTTTAAGATACATTTTCAGTCCTTACTCTCTTTGGGTTTCTCCTCAACAGGAGGAGGCTGCTCAGGCAGGTCCTCCTTCTCCTCTCCCTCCAGTCCTTCCTCAGGTGACGGTTTCTCCTCTTCTGGCTGCGAGACTTCATGACGAGAGATCACAGAGGCACCGCCCACAACATCCCCTGCCAGGCGGACGTCTTCCTCTTCAGCGTCTGGGTCATGGTAAGACTGGAGAGATGACCGAGATGTTATTGCAAAGGAAACCGGAAATGCAGGTTGTGTACAGGTTCTGATACTGCAGTCATGGCTGGTTGTGTTACAGAACAATTGATGTACAGGTAATTTGCAAACTTAACATTTACTGAAAGTTATTTCTGGTAAACTTGAGCCAGTTAAATATGTATTGTATCGGCTTAAGTTGATATACTTGATGGCCACTCCTTCGACATATTACAGGTAATATTTGCTTGCAACTGTAGAAGTTAATCTGTACACACACATATTCATATGTTGTAATTGTATACAAAGTTAGCCCTATTTTCCTCGTCCTTTAATATACCAGGATATGCATGTAGCTATGATGGTTTTTTACACTAAAAGTATCCCAAGGTCATCAGCTCTTATTACGGCCTCAAGTGTTTCTCCTTTACATTGTTAACATTTATTTTAGTTGCGCAATTGCCAGGTCATATTGACCTAACCCTAACAAATGAGAAACAGATCACTGGATTTCAAAGCTGCTTAACAGAAGCACACTCCAACAACATACACATGTACCTGTGTTTTGTTTTGTACTGTGTCAATTGGTAATTATGTGATGTAAGAATATATTGTGTCTTATCTCCAAATGTTTCGACGAGTTCGAGACACAGGTATATTTAAATGCAATTGTACCAAAGTGTGATTAGTAGAAGTATTCTGGAAATGTTCTCAAGCATTTAGTTAACACCTAAGTTAAGTATATTTAAAATACATATTTAGGTAGTAGTTCGGATAGTCTTGAATCAATCCATTGCTGTAGTGTAAACATCTCTCAGTATCAACATAACCTTTGCAATTATATCAACAGTTGTTTGCATCACATGCAACATAAATATATTCATTGATCCCCAGGGTTTGATATGAGGATCATTATCAAATAGCTCATGACATACCTTTAGCTCTGGCCCGTCGTTCCCCTGTTGCTCTTCATCTGAAAGGTATTAATAAGGGAGAGTAAACACAGTGTAAACTTGAGATGGATGAATCTGTTAGCTAAAAATAAACAGCAGCTTGAAACAGTTGAAGAAACGTAGACACTTCTGTCTGCGCACATATTAAACAGTTGAATGTCACACTTACCAGCTGTTATTCCTTTGACGAAGACTATCAGCAGAATGGTGAACAAATAAAAGGTTCTTGCCGTCTTAAAATACCTTTTATAGCCCATTGTTGTTGATGTTGACAAGCTAACGCTCTGCTAGCTGTAGCTGCTGCTACTTCTATCGCCAAACATTCAGTTACAGTTGGGTCACACTATAATATTCAGCTTAAATAAACTCTCCGACGCTCAACAAAACGGAACCGTGTTGTCTTGATATAAAACCTGGTTGACTTTAGCTCCTGTGGCTGTCAAACAAGCTAACAGATTTCAATTCAACCTGCGCTAGCAGAGTAGTAACTGACGTTTAACGTTAGCTAGCTAACACGCTAGTGTTACATAGCCACACGAAAGACCAACCAAACAGCGCAATATATGAATGAGACGCAACTCCTTAGTGTAATAAATGGTTGCCTACTACCTCTCGGTACTCTCAATCATCCAAGTTTTACAGCGACATGCAAGGCTTTTGATTTATATTAACCAGATACTACTTAGCTACCCATGTTAAGCTCCTACTACTGATCGACACTTCCTATTCCCTCATTTGGACCAATCACAGTGCGTTCCGTTTGACAGTAGCCAATGAGCGGGCACCTAAGCTGTATCAGCGAATCAGGTGCGTACACAATTTTGTTTCCAGTTGATGGGTTTGTCCGGTTTGTACGATTTGTCCACGACACCAATACAGGTTAAGAAGATAATCATAAGAGGGGGTTGCAGTGCATACACAGTGAATCCGAAATGTAAAGCATGTGTATTATTTTGTTGCAGAAAAGCCATTTTGAAAAAGGACCTGAATTGTTTATTTCCAAGTGTCATATTTGGCTTGTGTGTTTTTTCGAGTTGACAAAATGAGACAAGTACCGTAACAAGTGGGTTAGCAATCGTAAACAAACTGAGATATGGTAAAATGGAATCTCTAAACTAATTGTGATATATTTATCACAATTAGTTTAGAGAGATATGTAAAATATTACATTTAAGCTGTAGGATTGCTCTCTTCAAACCACCGTATGAGTAGGCTCATGCCTATGTTTATCCACCTCAAGAAACATCAGAAACCTAGAAATCTTACTAACAAAGAAATACCCCTGAAGAATGTTTTTTCACGAGCATACTACTGTTAACTCGGTTTAATTATTACTGTTTGATAAATTGCTAGACTACAAGTATATCCGTTGGTTTCATGGATAGACCTTACACTAGGAAAATAAGTACTTTAACAAAAAAAAATTGTTTAAATGTTTCTGTTACCATAATGTTTCAGGAACCTCAGAATGTTAATGCATTTAAATCCAAAACACTGTTCGACCACCCTTGGTTTTTATTGCTGACAGCATCGATTTCAACTCTGAACATATGGGAAGTCCCTGTGCTCCATTACGTCGAGTCTGTGTCTGATCCATAGTTATCCAGTGCACTTTGACACAGGCACTTTTAAGCCCCACTAAAACCATTAGCACTCTGACCATTTGACTGACTAGGGCCATTAATTCTCGCAGGAAATTAGCATGGCTCTCTACTGGTGGAGAAAGGGAAGTTAATGTAAGGAGGTATGCACATTTAACAGTGAAAATAATTGAGTTAATATGAAACGCAGAAATGTGTTAAATTGAAATACGAAAAAATACATTCAAAGTATTTTGCACACATAAACACAAGCAGATGTGTTAATGAATAACTACATGTTTATTTACAGGCTGCTTTAGTGGTCATTCCAGAGGCAGTAATAAGACATTATTATTTGAATAACATTCACAGTAAACAAGATAATACAAGGCAGGGAGATGACACATTATTTGTACCCCACAGCTTTCCACAAGAGAAATATAAGTCATGTTTGACTTTATGGTGCAGATATGATCCTCCAGAGGCGGTGAGAAACCACACAGAATAGGGTTGAATTTATATTGAAAGCCAAGAGAAGCACAGTTATGTGCCAAAAAGATAAAATGGAGAGATTTTCTATTCCTGTATCAATACAACCTTTTCCAGTGTAGAGTATAGAGCAAAAAGACGAAACAACTTAAGACAGGAAATGTAGTGTTCTTGAACTGTTCATGTGAAAGTGTATAATTAAAGAAGGCCATTTATACAGTCGGCTATTCATTCCTTTAAAATGATCAAGTCTTTGGTACAAAACTTGAAAGGCAATTGACGAATTTCATGCAAGCAAACACAGAAGCTATCATACATACATAACAATGTGTTTTTTCACATTTGTACACTGGCAAGTAGCAGTTTTGGATGAAGGCTCACATTAACACACTCAAACATCAACGTTTCAAAAGTTGTATATACACCAATGTTAATGTACCAAAAAAAAAGGTGATGTTGTCAATGCATGCCCTGGTTAACCGTCAGAAACAACATAATTATGAAAGGTTTTGGAGTCACTGTTGGGCCCCCTCCCTCACTTATAACTTACAGTACAGTAGTAATTCATCACTTTTCCACTCGGTGAAGATCCCATCCAGCTTATGACCCTTTAATATACACACATTCACTTTAATGTTCATCCCAACTAGTTACAGTGAAGTGCTTGGATATATTCACATTCAATTATGTGACCATACATTAAAATGTCAGGGCTTTAATATAAAAATTAAAAGCCAATGTTATAAAATTAGTTATTCATAAAAAACATGTTATTATGTTACGTAATTTAATCACGATTCAATACATTTTTTATATTTTTTTATTGTCGCAATCTATATTATTCCAGAATATTACTGCAGGCACAACAAAGTGATTAGTGGCAATAAATCACAGTATACAACTGCAATACTCACGAGTATCACATAATATTAGGAATCACAATGATGTGGCCCAAGGGCTGGGACGACCTGGGTGAAATGATGCGTTTCCACCACACACAAAACATAGTGGCTTTCAGGCCTCCATAGATGAAATGTATTAAAAAACAAGTGGTTTTCTTTAACCTGGACCACTCTCTGCTACTGTAGGCTTATGGTACCTGAATCCAAAAATTCCAACATGTAGCATAAGGCAGCGAGGAGACAACTGGAAAAGTCTGTGATATTCTAAATCGAAGCACATCATTTCCTTTTTCTTGTCTGAATATGTGGTCAACAAGCAATTCAACATTGACATTGGATTGATTGATTGGATTGGATTGACTCATTGCTCTACTCAAACCAATAAGATGAAAGCATGCAACCACTTGCGTTTAAAAAATGAACACGTTGCTACATGCAAATGTTCTAAGTAGTCTCAAAACCAGCTGAAACCACAGAGAACCAGGTGGTGTCTCCTAAAAAGGACCCAGTGGTGAACATTTGGTGCAGTCCATTCTCCAGCAGGGCATGATGGTAAGAGTTATCTGTGCACAGCTCTGATGACCCATTCTGCAGTAGGGTTCAGCTCGAAGAGGTCTTTCATGTATGTTTCTCCATCTAGACATCTCTCCTCTGAGGGGATAACAGACAGAGAGGAGGGGGGGGGGAGGGAGGCAGAGAGAGACACATAATGGAGTTACAACAATGATTGATTACTGCACTTGTCTCATACCTTTACACGCATAACAGGAAGTACGTTTTCCCTCAATCAGGCCTGTCTCGTGGCTCACTACTAGCAAGGTTATTAGCAGAGAAAACTAATGATTCACATTGTAATATATTCGTTTGTAGTGGGAGCAAGACTTACTGATGTTTCCACCAATCTCATAGAGACACAGCTCTTCTTGTTCCACTGCCACTGAACTGCAGGGAAGAAGAAAGAAAAAGCAAGTAAGAGAAAGAGCTCAAAGGTATAACAGGCATTTTTTTAGGGGTGGTGTTGAAAAAATTCCCTTACTGTATATTCTTTTGCCATTTTTAAATGTAAGTGATCGAAAAAGGGAAACCAACCTGCCAGAATTTGAAAAAATACAGTCCCCCACAATGTTGCGAATAGTTTAAACTGATGCTACTGTAGCTACTGCCAATCGCCTTAAGCAACTGAAAGGCTAAACTTATAGCAACAGTCATTTTCTGTATTTGTAACTCTTTGCTGATATTGTCAGACTCTTTTTTTATTTTAGTCAGTCTTACTTTTTAGTGAGCAAACAAAAGGAGCACTCTTAAATTAGCTGTGATTAGCCAAAGTCTACCTTTTTTAAAGAGGATTCTATACATCTCTCAGACCAATACAATTCCAATATGCTCAAATCAAAAGGTTATTATATTGCCTACCCCAGATTTAAGGCAACATGAAGAGAGGTCAGGCCTCATATTGATAAGATAAAGTACTGTGTGTGTTGGTACAGTGCTGCATGTAGACATTACCTGTCCTGGCTGAGGAAGCGTGTTAAAACATCAGCAGCCTGCAACTCTCCAGTAAGCTGAACTGCCATGGACACTTTACTGAACTGTGGAGCTTGAACTCGAATAAATCCCTGTGAGCTCTCCTGGTTGGAAATACCGACGGAGACAAACAGAGACGAAGAAAGATAAACATACAGTCCATTATGTTGTCATAAACACTTTAAAAGGAAACATTGTACTCATCTCACATCCACACATGAGGCCGGGGCTTTACACTGCAAGAATGAGGAACTAGGATAAATTCCTGCTCTGTTGTTTAACAAACTGCAGACTCTGTTTGGTCTAAAAGCACTTAGCTGAGAATGACAAGTGTTGCCGTGGTTACTCACTATCCACTATATTGTTAAGGAGAACAGCAATTGTATTAATTGCTAGGATACGTAAATGTCCCCTCTGTGGGACTAATAAAGGGATTCTGATCCACAAGAAACGACTGTGGAAGCAAAAAAAGAAGTGTGATCGAATTTGTTCTCATTACTATTATATACGTCCACGTAAAATAAATATACTGTAAATATGGAATGATAGTTATTGTCAGTTCTTTTGCTCTTAATGTTGCACCAACAGACTGTAGAAAGGATTGCACCAAGAGAACAAAATACCCACATATCATTCCTACCCCCCGGGCGCTGTACAATAGCTGCCCACTGCTCCTAGTACTAGACTCCTGGTACTAGGATGGGTTAAATGCAGAGGCCAAATTTCACTGTGTGTGCTGTGTGCTCTGCATGTGTGACCATTAAAGAGGGTATCATCCCTCCCAATTCTTCTTCTTCTTCTTCTACACTTCACCACTAGATGTCACTGTTTCTCCACAGACTATTGAGAAAGAGTTCTGCTTTAGTCAGAGTCTGGTTTAAATAGTTTCCGACCATTTCAATTGAACTTCTTACATTTTCTAGCACTGCCATACATGGTCAAAAAACATGGCCGTCCTGAAAAGTGTTTAGCTTCATTAACATTGTTGACATTGACTCCTTTTTGTAGAACTAGATTCCAGGCTGCAAATGTTTCTGACTCTATAGCATTGGCAAGTCCAAAAGTAAAACTGAATTTTTTATAAAATAGATTAAATCATTTCCGAAATTCACTTGTGTTGTTTTTATACAAGGAAATACTTTTAAGGCACACAAGAGAAGACCTCATTTGTGTTGAAGAGCCCTCTGACATCAATTTAAAAGCACCATGGAGTACATTTATATGAACACAAGAAAAAAAGTTGTATCTGGGAAACCTCTGTATGTAAAAGAAATGTGGTACAATCAAAATTAAAACATTTAGAGAAACCTTTGCTGTGGCTCTGAAACCTTCACTGGTTCTAATGTATTCCCATTGACCTCTACATGACCCCTACATTTAAACTCCTACCTCAGGAACAGCCTTCTCTGATGGTTTGTCTGTGGTCATCTTCTTCAGCAGCTTCCTCATGGCTCTCTCTTTGTATTGTTTCCGATGACTTTCCATGTTCTGTTGTCTGACCTGGGTCATAATGAACTTTGGGATCTGGAGATAAGACACAGTGAACAGGAGATCTTATAACCTTGTTACACACTGACCCATCCTCCACCCTTAACACAAATATACTTTTCAGAGTAACCAAGACAAATCAGGATGCATTGAGAAACATTGTTCTCCATTGATTCAGTCACACAAGCTATGACATGGACTAAAGAATGTCATTTTTTGAATGCTTACTGTCCACAGAAGATTCTGGTATCGAATCAGCAGCCGGACGATGTGGGCTGTGCTGGTTGCCATGGAGAACTCCTGCTGTTCAGTCACCTTGGAGCGGAAGCCTTTGAACATGAAGATGTTGGGCGCCATGACGACAGAGACATTGTTGAGAGTCATTTTATTCTTGTCCTGGTGGTCGATCACACGGTGGAAAAACTCCACTAATGCCTAGGGGAAGCAAACACAATCCATTTGACAAATATAATTATCAAAGGGTTTTTATTTGTATTTACTGGAGTGAAACACGAGTGTGTATTTACCTTCAAAGTGTCCCGGTTGGCCTCAGGTAACAAAAGGATGAGCAGATTCAAAGCCTGCAGCTGCTGCTTCTTAGTGGGGAGCTCTACAAACACACACACACAAAAACACACACACACACACGGAAGGGTTTAATGCAGGTTAATGTGGGAGTAAATCAAGCAGAATACTTCATGAACAGATGCCACACGTACTGTTGACGGCAAAAAAAGCGTTGAGGTACTCCACAGTCAGCAGAGGGAGGGGTAACTCCCTGATGAACAGCTTCAAAAGGCTGGCGGCATCGTGCTGCTTTAACTGCTGCCATGGAAACGTCCCGTCGTAGAAAGACGTCTCGAACTCCTGGCACAGCAACTGGATTTGGGACAGAAACACACAGGAAAGCTTTTTTTATTACATTATCACTAAAACGTACATATTATAGACAGGCTTTTCATTATGAATCATTTGTAAACATATTTTTTAGTCACTCACTTTATCGTATTAAAGTTGTAATCTATATGACTTATTTCATAAAATGATTTACTTTCCTTGTAAAATGTTTTTATAAATCATTAACTTTGTTCTGATTAGGTTGTAATATATTATTCTATTTTATTGTTTTATTTACTTTGCTGCTATTAAGTTGTAATTAATTGTTTTATTATGTAGTACTATTACTGATTGAATTGCCTTTAAATTCATTTTATTACATTTTTACATTTGGTATTGTCTCATGCATTTGTCTCAGACTGTTATATTGTTTAAGCCTCTCCTGTTTTCAAAAGTCTAAGTCTTGTTCTTTCTTATCTTATTATAACAGCTATCTGTTAAGCACATTTTACTACCACTTGGATGAAGTATGAAGGTGTAATACTAATAAAATGTGATTATTGATTGATGCTATTGCTAATGCTATTACCACACCTACCAATCTTAGCATGTTACAGTGTCTGTAGTGATGGTGCTAAAATGCTTAAACAAACCTTGACTCTCGTGGCCACTCCAGGGATCCGTAGCAGCCCCTCTGTGTCCAACCCTTCCTCCTCTATATGATTAATGAGCTAGGAATAAGAAAGAGGGATACACAGGTTAAACATCACAAGCAGAAAAAGTCAGTTCCATATTTGTTAGGTTCAGGTTGCATTGTGGGTAATGTAAATTGATTCATTGACATATCCCTGTTGTATAATCAATTACTGTTTCCCCTCATCATAGCTGTAATGGTGAATCGTCCTCATCTCAGACTGATGTGATTGGCTGATGGACTCACCCTCTGCAGTATTAATGGCACTTTGGTCCCAGGAGCCCGCCTGTGGTCTTGTTCCAATAAAGTGGCAAGAGGAACACCAAACAGGCCACTCTCTGCACACAAACAAGCACAGATATTTAGTAAAACAGTCATACATTGCGTGTTTACCTGGAATAAATAGCAATTTGTAATTCATTTTAGCTCTTTTGAATGACTTTGTTTTTCCATATATCCCTTTTTGTGTGTGCATAAATACTTTACATGTGTGTGTTTACTTTGTATGTCTTAGTTTGTGTCTCTCCGTAGGTCAGAGTGTGTCAATACAGTTCGTGTGTGTGTGTTTACCTTTAGTTTTAACTTTGACAGGTTTGTCTGCCTTCAGGTCGATCCCAGCAGTATCGAACAGGGCAGTCGACTCCACGAGCACCAGCCTGCGCACCTGACAGAACATTACAGAGAGAACAAATATGTATAAGACAATTAAATAAAATGGGAACTGGTTTAATGGACAACTCAACAAAATAAACTCTTATTGGGCAATTTGTCCCAGAAAGGCATTATAATATAATAAATATAAATCATGATATTTTGGTTATTAATTTACTAGGACAAGCATTGCGACCATGAAGCAAGGACATGGGAACAGTCAAATACACCAAAACTTAATTCATGACGATCGACAATAAACCAAAAATGTAAGAAAAGAAAAATGTAAGAAAATGGAACAAGATTTAGCCGAACAACAGATGTAAAATAACACATTTTAAACTATTTAAATTTTAATAAATGTTCTAATCTAACTAAAAAAACATATTTCAAAAAAGGGGCTATGGACTGTGAACTAAACCATTGAATGAAAGATGATCATTGAAACATTGCAATTAGTTTTATGCAATTATTGCATCCACACATAATTTCCCTCACTAACCTTTTTCATATCCAGAGGAGACAGATCTCCTATTCTGGTCTGACCTGTTTTATCTCGGAGCAGCTTAAAGTTCTGCAGAGGAAAAATAAAAAGAGAGAGGGAGACAGAAGGGCGTCAGTGACTGTGGGAGAAAATATTAAAAGTAAACACTCTTAATTTACAACTGTATTTATTTGCATATGAAGGTTGAATGAAGGCTGAACACATGGGACAGTGGACAGCTTCAACCAGCAGATGGCAGTACAGACCAACACTCAATGCCAGCTTTTATTATTAGAATGAACAAATACACTTTATCACACGGTCGCATTCACACCTAATAGTCCGCTTCTCTGGTGCGCACCAGACGACAGTTTGTTACATTGTTTCATTTTTCAGAAGGTTCGGTTTGCGTTCACACCATAGACTGTATATATAAAGGTTCACACAGGCAAAATTCAAACGGACTATAAACTTTAAACACCAGTCATGTGCCCGGAAATGCTAGTCAACAATTGGTCAGACATAAAACGCAAATCCCGGTGTTGTGTCAAATTATGCACCCCCGTCGTGAAATGCACCCCTTGACACGGGAACGCGCATTTGAACGTTTAGTCCGCTATTCTATGTTGTCTTTTTGATGGTTGGGTGGGTGGTCGAATCCTGGATTTTGCATTCATTCGTCACTTATTTTTCAGTTAATTTTTTATTTAATATACGTTTTTATTTAATTGTGACGTCCTGTCTGTATACTTGTGCTTGTACTTGTGCTTTACAATGTATTGTTTATTTTTACATCAAGTGCTTGAGGGTGGGATTAATAGAAACATTTTTATTTTGGGGGGTGCTTTTTATGAACAGCCTGGTTGCCACGATATGCACCCCTTGCTATCTCTGACAATAAACGTGTCACATACATGAAACTTGCTCCATTTATTGGTACTAGTCCTACAACTATACCCTCCAGTCCAAAGTGCTTGAGGGTGGGATTAATAGAAGCAACTTTTTTCGGGGGGTGCTTTTTATGGCAGGCCAGGGGGTGCATTTCACAAAGGGGGTGCATCATTTGACACAACACCGGCAATTTCCGCCATGGAGCATCGGCAGGTTATTTTCATGCTGTTGTTAATCTGGAGAGCATATCAACAGCAACGGCGCATATGATTATATAAATCAGACAACGTGGGATAAAAAACATTATAACACATATAATGAGACGTTCTGCAGTAAGGAGGGGGTTTCACCGACGGCAGGTGGCTCTGACTTTTATGTATAGTTTTTAGTTTGATAGTTGTTTTTACTTTACACGACACTGTTGAACACTTCATTCTGCTTCACTCTTTCGCTAGCGATTTTGAAGACACCCGCGTTCTTGTGACATGTAAATACTACGCTTCCTATGTTTTGGTGCGGACTGCGTTCACACCAGCGATGAACCGCTCCAGAGTTCACTAGCAAGCGGTCCGAGACCACCTCTTTTAGGCGGACCAGAGTCCGGTTGTTTAGTTCACTTCAGAGGTCTCGGACTGCGTTCACACCAACCCAAACGAACCAAGCGGCTAAACGCACCAGGGTTCGATTCAACCGGACTATACAAGGCTGGTGTGAATGCGACCTAAAAGTGCAAAGTGAGCATTAACAAAATCATTATCTCTGGAAATCATTGACTCACAACATTAAATATTACATGATATAATCACTATTATTACCCTGCCCTAAATACAATAAACAATTGACCTTTCTATCATTGCCTGCCAGCGCATTCAATCAGTGCACGCAGTTGATTTATTGTGGCTTCCCCATTGGCTGATTGTATCAGCAAAGACACACACAGCTGAGGAAGTGAATTGGCACTTAGCCTTGAGTTATTGTGTGTGTACAGGTGTGTGACTCACTGGTAGTTTGTCATCAGGTGAGTTTGGGCTAGCGGTGACCTTTGCCCTTTGGTGGTTGTCCCTGTAAGTGAGCGCCTGCTCGGAAAACGCCACTTCAACGTTCAGTTCTGTCTCCGTTTCTGCAGTTAGACACGCATAAAAAGAATAAAACATACGACCACACAAGTAGTCCAGTACAAATGTGCTTGTGTTGTAAAGTTGTGTTTACACAGAAAGGCAATTACATGTGTTTTTCTGTAGAAATGCCACAGTCACTGCAGCACAAAGGTGTTTTTTTCTGCACATAACCTCTTCATGGCAAATGAATCAGACTTTTGCCCCCACGTTTAAAAAGGGATGTACTTGTATAGTTAAACATTACAATATTATGTAGAAAAGTCTCTCATTCTGATGCTGTGTAGCTTTGACATTGAGAAAATAAAGCAACATTGTATTACCATATGTTTCCAGTTAATCGTTTTATTCCATTTGTATAGTAGCTACAATATTAGCACTTCAATATTAAATGTGCAAACGAAGAAAGAGGCAAAAAGTTAATTGTTTTTATTGTATGATACTTAATCATGTTTTATCTTTTATAAGATAGTATTTCTAACATGAGTTACAAGGAAGACGTTTATTTGGGCCTCAGCTTGTCATTCTCCATGGTGACTACTGAGCACGTGTGTCTTTAGTCATTTGTTGCACCTACCAGCTGAAGTGATATCTTTTTGTCCGTTCTCACTTTCCCCCTTCAGCTCAATGGGCTCCTCATGCTGGAACAAACACAGAGACACATTAGCACAAAGTGTAATGTTCAAACAGTGACAGATTTACAACGAGCTCCCCCTCCTTTTGTACATTTTTTTCATGTTACATATTATCTTGTCTGTTAATTAGTGGACAAACTGTCCGTTCTAGTGAAAAAATGTGTGCAAGACTCTTCAAAACTGTTTATTCTGCTGACCGGCGTAGTATGGAGTTTCAGTACTTTGAGTTCTACCTAAATCAATACATGCGTTTTCCATTCATTGAATATCAAAGCAGTGTCTGGTATAATGAAGGGACTTGATTTTGAGGTAAGAAAGAGGTATTAGGTGGTGTAAAAACAGATTTGCAATGTGTTACTGATTACCACGAGACAGTAGAAGTAGAAAAAACTAACATTTAGCAAAGTTGTGAACACTTCCTCTGTGGTAAAAAAAAAAAGGGAAATATATAAAGTGTGTGTTGTGGTGTGATGCTTCCAACTCATGCTATCAAAAGGGGAAGAGATCATAAAAGGAAAAAACTGTATTAACTTTTTCCGAAACCATCTGGTTAGCTAAACTAAGCACAAAGTCTAATCTTATTGTGTTATTAAGTGAGTTTCAGAGGTGGTAGTTTTGTTACTTTGGACAGGCTAGCTGTTTCCTTGATTTAATTTATACATATAAAAAAGAGAGGGTAAGAATTTAAAAAAAATGTATCATTCTTGAAATGACATAAGAAAACATGAAGATACATACCTTATTAACTATCAAGTCATAGAACATATAGCAATATATATATAAATATCAGCAACTAATAAATTATTGATAACCATTCATGCTTTGCTGGGCTAACTGGCCGCTGGCTTTAGCTTCATATTTAACACGAGTGGTATCAATGTTTCATCTTAATCTCAATCTCAATGGAGAAAAATATAGGAATATTTCTTGAATGAGGTCTTCAAATTTTTGTAACACAGATTTAAATGTTTGATGAAACACACTTAAAGTTATTAAAACCAGTGACACAGTTTACAGCTGAACACCTGTTCATGGCATTTTTTAGTTCTTAGTTTAGTTAAAATGGTGTTGTGTGCTTGGCCTCACCTTTTCAGGAGGTCTGAATATATCTCTAACATCAGGAACGTGTTGCCGGTTGCGTCGCCGTAGCAACGTCTGCTGTAGTGTTGTCACACGGCGCTCTACTGCTGCCGCCTGCGATCTGGTGAGCGTGGACAGAAACACGGCACTGTCTTCTTCCTGTCAATCAAAAAAAAATCTGATGAGTGAATTGCTTTAATATCTACACAGAATATCTAATGCCTTTAGTCAGGTTATGCTCACTGAAAGATGTGAACTGCAAATATGAAACTCTGACTTAACCTGGACTAACTATTTGAAAAAGGGAAAGATGATTGACACCTGATCCTGGTCGGCCGCTAGTGAGTCATCAAACAGCCGCGCTAGCCCCGCCTCCGTAAGCCACGCCTCCTCCTGTTCGCCTTCTGGAAGAGAAAATTAGAGGAAGATAACAAAAACAAATTGTTTTATTTAGTTCCTGAGATGGGATATCACCATTTTGTTTCTTAAATGCAAAAGTAAAGGCAAACGTTTTTATTTATTTAACAATTGTACAGGTGCAGGAAAGGGAAAGGTGTAACCGCAAACAGAGCAGGACACACATACTATACAGGAAGAGTGTGTTTGCTCCAGAGAACAATAGTCTTCATAAACAAGTTAAATAACACTGATATATATACACGCGAATTGCATTCCTCTTATGCAAGGAGATGAAGAGCTAGTAGCTAGTAACAGCTTTTTAAATGTAATAAAAGTCACTCCAGATCACTCTGGTCCAAAACATGTGGCACTTAAATTAGAGGATTTAATAAGATGGATTGTGATAAAAAAAACATAAGCTAATACATTTCCTTATCTGGGAAAAAAAACAAAAAACGTAATGAGACCTTCATGCTACTGTATTTAAAATATATATATTTCAACAAAAAAATGTTAAGAAGTACCATATAGATTTTTTTCTTTGATTTAGCTGGTATTTTTGGATGTACCATAATAATTTGCAATAACATATTTAAGATTGTTTAGAAAATGTATGTGCCCCATCTGTGATGCAAGTATTTCCAGTATATCTTAGTGCCATTTTTAAGCTTTGAGCACATTTAATGATTATTGGGATACAATCGGGAAATGTATTTATGTGACAAATATATATTTTCCCATGCCTAATTAAAATGCTTTCCAATTGAAATAATGCAGATAAATAAGCAAAGTAAGTGGGGGACTTTTCACACTTATGGGTGCCCAGAGGCCCTTTGTCTCAAAATCCACAGGTCTGGAACCACAAACATGCCCAAACTAGCCTGTGATCAAAACCTGCCAATATATTATCTGTTCTGGTAGACTGCTCTAAATCAGGAACAAAACACATGAGGTTTAATGACTGTCTGTGTTGAAAGAAACGGGGAAACGTATGTCCCTTTCAGGTCTATCCATGGACACGGCGTATCCTACCCTCAGGAATTTTCTGCTGCTCCTCCTCTGGCACTTCCCCTTCTCCTCCTGCGTCTCCCCTCCCTGCTCCTCCTCCCGAGCTGGTGATATTCTCCACCTCCTTCCAATAGTCGTCCATCTCCAGCTCATCCAGAGAGTCCTGCCAGACGTGTGAAGAGACATGCATGAGATGACAATTTCAACATTTAGTTTCAAGTTCCCATTTGCGTTTCATATCTTGTTTTTGTCCTCAACAGAAGAAAGGTCAGATATGAAGCACAGACGTAAACCAAAAAGCCGCAGTCTAAACATGTCGTTATAACTGGGTGTGCACCTTCTCTCATTTATACACAAAACACGCATATTTTACATAAAACATTTTAACAGACTTTGGAGCTCTTCCAAAAAAGCATTTAATTTAGGTTGATTTGTTGGGTTGTTACCGAGTGTATATGCTGCTATGCACTGCTCATTCCTTAAGAAATCACAAGTGAAGCCACCCAAGAGCTGTAAATTACTGAAAAATACGAGGGCCAAATAAATCCTTCCTAAATAGTTACGCACCGCACTGTAACAGTGTTAAGTAAAAGAAACCAGTACAATGTTCTAGAAGAAAGATGGCGCTGGATGGCTGCCGTGTCACTAGCTCCTTTCCAACTTTTCGTTTTATTTCAGTGTTTGCTTACACTTTGGTGTGTACTTTAAACTTTGGCTCCCTGTTGTTGTGGCTGCTGTACCTGAGCGAGAATTTATTGAATTTATTATCATAATAGTTAATTGTATTTCACTGTACAATATTTAACCTTACATTCTGTTTCTTTCACCTGCACTATTTAATTCAAATGTATCGTATTCTGTTAATTTGCACTATTTTAATTTTTGTAATTATTATTATTGTTATTTTGTTGTCTTAGGTCCATTATATAATATGTTGCACTGTTGGAGATGCTCCGGACCTAAGATTTTCATTGCCATAACAACACTGTAGCTACTCTGCACATGATAATAAAATCCTTGAATCTTGAATCTAATCAGCTTACTAAAATACAAGCATTATTATGTATGAAAGTCATACAATATAGAGTGCTAAAATGGATTAATAATGGCACTATAATATTAGTTTGAAGGTTTAATGATGCCGAAATAAGCCCTGAGATTGTGCATGTTGTTGTTGAGGGTTATCTGCCATTTTAAAATGACATACAATAGCAGTGTAACTTTCCAACAATCCAAACTTTGAGAAAATATCACAGCAGAATACTTACTGTAGCAACAACCCAACTCTGGGAAATACGTTGCCAAGTCACTAAATGAACGATTCTCCCGTGCAGCCTACCTGAGAGTTGCTGCGCAGACATGGTGTCCGTGGCCTGGGCCTGGATTTGGGACTGGGACTGTGTCGGGGGCTGGAGCCGGGCTTTGGGCTGAAGGAGGGCTGAGACCTGGGGCTGGAGGCAGCACTGGGGTTGAGTAGTGATGGTGGGTCAGTAGTGGAGGTTTTTGTCCCGCCTTCGGTAGCAGAAGGCCCGGATCCATCTGCTGGATGTGTGTTCTGGTTCTGTTGAACAGTGTAGTGGCCAGTCCTGCGAGTACAACAGAGAGGGACAGAGGGAAGGAAATCAGGGAGTTAAAAACATACAAAATCTGGTGATCTGTAGGAACAAGTCTCCTAACCTGGCCAACATGCTCCAACAAAACAATAATCTTGATTTAGAAGAATGTGTTGCCCAAGGTTTCACTTACAGCTGTGCACTTTGCCCCTTGTTTACCAGTGACGTTATGAAAGTTGCCTCATAACAGCATCGATCATAAACATCTTATATTGGATTATAAATGTAAGATTGTGTAAGAAAAACAAGCTGGATTGTGCTCTATGAAGAGGTTTGTATGGGGCAGACACATTTCCGAGATATTGGCTGTTCAAAATCCCATATTTTTCTCCCAGATATGGCGTTAAATTGAGTATTTAGCGTGTTTTTGTGTGAGTATCTTAATGAGTGATTTTGAACACACGTCATTTTTTCCTTGTAAACAGTCAGTGTGTCAACCGAGACAGCAGTGTGTTGAATTCCCAGCCAGTCAGCTAATGAGGAAACTGCAGGGACTAAGAATAGCAGCCTCACACTGCCAGCTCAGCTCAGTTTACACTTAACTCCTGTTGGTTAGCTTAGGCTAGCATAGCCTAGCTGATACAGCATGAAGCATTAGTGCTAATTATAGTGAGGATGACTACCCAGCTCTAATCATTGAAACCGTTTACCATACACACTCTCTGAGGTGTGAATCAGCCGATCATATAATAACCATTACACAACTTAATGGTAGTGTGGGTGAATCATACTAGAATTACGCAAAGACTAAAAATATGTGTATAGTATTTTAAAAGTCCAGCCCTTAATTATTTTAATATGGTGGTCATCTATTCATACTGATGCACCTCAGGATTTCACCACTACTGATTTTGTTCCGTTTCGTTATTTTCCTTTTGTGTAGCTCAATGGACTTATCAAAGCTAATTTTATATGATATAATCTGAAGAAGTGCTAACAAAGAAATGTGTCAAAATGATACTACAATATCATATCACACTGCAATAATTCATGGCATTTTGAGGTGTTTTACACAATATTAACACCAAAAGAAGTGCCGGTACAATATGAAGTAAATCAGTTCATAATAATGTGTGTTTTAATATGGCTCTCATTCTTGTGGCTTTGCAGATGTCCGACTGAATGTCTCCTTTGTTGTGACAGGAAGTAACATCTGACACAGCACATTCTGTGTCTCTCCCCCACTTGAGGATAAAGAGTTATTATGGGGTGAGAAGCTACAGTTAGTTCAACTGACTGAGGATGCAGCTGCATACAATAAATCTGTGCTTACTGTCAACACATATCACTTTAGCGGCACCTATCAAAACTCAGCTGAATGTGTGTAAGTGGGGCTGTTCAAAAAGTTTAGTTGACAACCGTAGTGTAAGGGAATTTGATTATATAATAGTTAAATAAATGCAGCAACCAGATACTTTGAGTAATATTAAGTAAACATGACTTGAAGCATATACTGAAAGCCACCACATGAACACCAATGTGTCACAGTTCAAGATTAAATATGTCCATAAGGTATTTGTCAGACACCATTGGTCCAGTTTTTTTAAAACACCAGATGCTGTGACATGATTTAGAGTGTTTTAAAAAAAAATACAGACTGGCTTAAAAGTAAATAAAAAGGTGAAATGTATCACTGATCAGAAATAAATGCCTGATTTGTGGGAGGTCATACATTTACATAAATCGTGTGAATGTTTAAAAAAGAACACTTAGATGTCTCTATTTGGCACGTAGGCAGATCATTACTAGGAAATGAGTGCAATTCAGACAAGAATATATATGCATTTGATAACTCTTGGTGAATGGACATGGAATCAGGGCATGGAATAGTCCATTACTCTCAAAAGAACAATCAATTTAATTAAAGTATTCTTACTGAGATGAAAGGATAAACTGTAAATGAACGTGTGGGGCTAACAGGGAAGTCAGGCTGACCAGCATCGAGTTGATGTTCTATATTCATTAATTTGGAGTTATGAGCAGGACTGAAGGTTCACGCTGAGCTGAGACTGCATACCACAGCAGACTTCCTGACACACACACACTTTGTGTACTTAAAAAGCCATACAAAAACACAGGTAAATATAGACATACAGAAACACATTTTGATCTGGTACAACAATTGACCTCCACCTACACTTCCTTCCATCAATCTCTTTTCTTTCCCACCTCCGTCTTCCTCCTCCTCCGTTTCCTTGCATCCTACACTCGTCTGGGTCTTGTCGTGCCTTTCCGTTTCCTTTCTCCTTGGTGCTTTGGATTTCCCGTCTGCTTTCTTCCTGTGTTCCTATATAACTATCATGATGGTTCCATCTCCTCTATGGTGCTACTCCTGCTATCTGACCCCTCACTCGGTTTAGAAGAATAGCACACTCGGCACGTACTGCATGTTCATGGCCTTATCCATTCTGGCCAATTTAAATGTTTTCATTTGTGAGAAATGTCAAAAATGTCCTTGTTTTCTAATACACTGGAGAAGATTTGTTTAACTTGGAAGCAGATTTGCACCTGGCAGACACACATGAAGTCCAGGCAGATTAATCATTAACCTTCATCCAGAGCTACAGTATGAAGGACGATTTGACTAAACCATAAATCAGAGATATGCAAACACATACACACACAAACATTCGTTTTTCAGTGTTGGGAGTTTAAATGAATAAAGTGAATCAGAGGTTTATTTGTTCATCTACAACATAAGAATATGTTAACGTGTGTACCAGCGTGAACCTCAATGTTAATTATCTATGTATTAACACTGACCTTACATTTGTTCTAATGTTAGCCCCGATAGAGACATGGCTCTAAAGATGGCGATGTTTATCTGACGTATGTTGAACACGGTAAACATGCTAAACATTTACATTTTAGCATTGTCAATATGTAAGGATGTTGCTATGCTAGCATGTTAGCATTTGTCTGCGTCTAATTATACCCTGACAGAACTGCTAGCATGACTGTAAAATCTTGGTCTCTTCCAGGATGGTTTACAAAGTGTAGTTTGGTGACACAGTTTGGACAAAGTGGTTATATTTTCATTTTGGTTAGCTAGCTTGTCAACTGGATTATAGAAAAACTATGGGACAGGGATTCATGTAACTTGGTGGAAAGATGTAGCATTAGTCAAAGAAGAACCTATGGAATTTTTCGAGCAAAACTGAATACAAGACGGGTACGGAAATAGTTTTTCACTTTTGTCGACATTGCAATATAGGGCATTAGGCTCAGGTTTGAGCTCTCAGTGTCCTTTTAGTTGTAAATATATTTGCTATTACACATCTGTCTGATACACTACAAAGATCCAAAGCCGACAAGAAATAGAAGTAGCTATTAATATTGACATATAATGCTTATGCAAACATTGCCACTTGCTTTGACTCTAGCTAAGACAACCTGTTGTCAATCAAACATTGATCTCGTATCATAAAAGTTGTTCTAATATACAAACATGTCAACATTTTACTTGGCGGCCTAAAAGTATTTATTGTTGACCATTTCCAACCTCATAAGCAACACAGGTATAATTCCTGTGAGTGAATTGGACATGGAAATATTCGTGTGTGGTTTAGGACTCCGACCATCACAGCTTTTAAGTGCAGAAAACACCCACAATAATGCAAACAAATTATGCAAAGCTTTACAAACAGTAGTACACGTGAGCAGGCTCTCTGACACACTCACAGCGGTCAGGTGAGCTGCCCTTGTTAGTAAAACAAACACATTCTCACTCTGGCACACTTTCAGAGAAAACATGCCAAAATGCCACGGTTGTTTGTGCGATTGTTCTACTCTTTGTACCGCACACCTTTTATCACCTGCTCAGAGCTGTCCACATAGAAAGAGTGTGTGTGGACGTGTGTGTGTGGAGAGAAAAACACCTTGTAAAAGTAAATCCCACACTACAGAGGACAAATAGTTATAGAAGAAACGGTATCAGACAACAAAGAGCAAGTTCAGCGCTGATGAGTTCAATATGAGTCAAGATCTGAGGAAGTGAACTATTTTTACCCCACATGGCATGAGACCAAGCTCCCGACTAAACTATACAATATAAAGAAGAGACCATTCCGCATGTTCAGTACTATATGTTTTGCTACTAATATCACCATTATGTTTTACTTAAGTCACATTTTGAATGAATGTAATGATGATGAGCCTGTGTGAAGAACATGCACTCTGTCATGTACAGTATGTGTGTGTCTGTCTGTCCTCAGCTAACCTTGTATACTAGAACTTAGAAGGCTTATGAGCCTAATATTGAATTCATGTTATTTTAAGACAGTTTGCTTAAGGAGCTCTTGTAGTGTCGGTGATTCACATGTTATTTTTAAACATAATTTCTTTGAATTATACCGTCACTGAATGTTGACTCCTACTTGCTCTGAACAGCGACCGATCAACATCGACTTCGGTTGCAAAATAAATTCCGTAAACAGGCTAGCCTAACAACAAGCCTTACCTCGTCTATTGCAGGCAACACTATGGCCTATGATGACATGGCAAAAGAATTGACATCCAATAATATGCAATCATCTCCATTTTGGATATCTTTGCTGGCACCTTGACTGTGCCTTACAAAGAGTAATATGAGAAGATTGATACGACAACATTGTGCTGTATAGTAAATATGAAGCTAGAGTAAGCATCTGGTTAGCCTAGCTTAGCATAAAGACTTTAAACAAGGGGAAACTGCGAGCCTGGCTCACTCAGAAAGTAACAAAAAAGTGATCTAGTTAACATTATAGCTTTAAAAAAATATCAGTGTGTGACGAATAAGTGAGTGGGAGTTGTATCAATCTCTCTCAGCAAAAAAGCACATAAGAGCATGTCCAAGAATATAAAAAAATAGGGTTTAAAAAAAGGGAGCTAGTACTTCTTCAACCACTGCAGATGGAGGAGGTGGAAAACTAGATTTATTTGTATAATTTGGCACCTACACAAAGTGAACAATGGGCAGCTGAGGCATATTTTGTAGCCAACATAAGAAAGGGAAAGAGGATGAGAATTGTGTGTGTGGTATTCCCATTCAGATCAACAGGTGCCAGCTGCCCTGTGGAAAACAGAGAGGGCCTCTGTTCCGCCTCTCTCAGTCACTGATCTCAGCACAAGTCATCTCCTTTAGTTCTGATGAATCTGAATGTGTATTTGTATGAATCTTTCTGCCTCGGCGTCTGTCAGGAGCCATTTATCTGCTTTTTTGTAACAGCCTCTGTTTCTCTGGACTATAATATCCTTCATTTATAAAAGTCATTTTTGTTCACTCATGCTTGCCTGATGTGTAGTAATCTCTCTCTCCTTCTCTTCCTTTCTGCAGATGTCATTTCCTGTGCTGCATTGCCTTGCTGCTGTGGGGTCAGGCTGTCTGTAGCATTACACAGAGGATTAATCTAAACCATGTGTTTCCACTGACTAAGTCACACTACATAGATGCCAGGGGAAGTGCTGGTTCCTACACAACTAAAGGAAACACAACAGGAACGTGCTTCCCTTTAGCTAAAAGCTTAACCTCTCATTCTCAGAAGAGCTAGGCATCCATGTTCAAGACTCCCAGCTGACACGTAACCTAAGGCTCCTTAGGTCAGATGTCCACTGCTGGTCAAAATACCTAAAGTTTTCTCTGTCTGTGTCTCTCTGTCTCTCATTTCCTGACTAGGGGAAACAATGACTACAAACCGAAGCTCCACGTCAAACTAGACAGGACACACACACTGTGCTGTGGGAGGTGAGACAAAGGCAAGCTGTAACATGATGCTGTTTTTTTTTCTAGTTAGCTGGACAAGCCATCTGGAAAACACACACATACACATTGGGGCAGGTGTGTACGTCTGAACGCCACCTGGACTCCCGCTCTATGGGTTGTTTACTTTCACCACACCACACTTGTTGACAGCAGTTGTTTGCTGATGTAAACATGTACTGGACACACACAGGCGGCCCTGGCCTGGATGGATAAACAAGTGTGCACTGTTATTAATAAAACTCTGGAGCTGTACAGTTGTTTCCATGTGAGTTCCCATTCAGGGTTTCCTCTGAATGAATGGAGACAGCTGACAAATGAAGATGCTTCTGTAGTAGTTTAGGGTTCACTGAAAGGTTTGCAGAGTGAAAACCACATCATTATTTAACACCTAGACATAATGTGTCTGAAAGCACTCTCCACCTCCATTACATAAACACCAAAACAGTGAATATTGTTTTGGATGAATAGTGTTTATTGCTCCATTTGAGTTAGAGATACTCAAATGGCCCAACACCTTGTAAAGACACTTAAAGAAATACTTCACCAACATAAAGATAATTTTTATATCAAATACTTACTAATCAAGAATCAAATGCTCAAAAATGAATAAAAACTCTGGTGGATAGAAGTAAATGGGGGCTACATTTATTAACAGAAAAAATATCAAACTCTCACCCAACTTGTGCAATATAATCAAATTTATATTTAAAATCAAAATGTTAAAGTGGACCTATCATGCTATATTTAAATGATATATTGTAGGGCCATACCTATATAAGGTATATTTATACGTTTCTGTTTTCAAAATACCAAACAGATCATGCATTTTAGCCATGCCTCATTTCGCTCTATGTGCTGTTTGCCGTCTACGGGTCTGATTCTGCTGACCACGCCCCCCTGCAGGAGAGGGGAGCCGTGCTCTGATCAGCTGCTGGGCTGTCAGAAGAGGGGGAGAAAAAGAGATCTCCGTCCTCCGTGTTTTATTATATAGAGTCGTTATTCATTTGTTTTAAAGCTCAATAAATAACAAAGAACACCTTTGACCGGCACTTTTCTAATTTTGTCCGGAAGATTTAAACTTTAACGGACATCTTGACCGGCGAAAGAAACTGAAACTCTGCCGCACGGTCCCCTCGTTCCTTGGAAGAGGCGGAGAGGTGGGTGTTTGTCATCTGCTGGTGGACTAACCGGAGAGAATTACAGTGCTTGCCTCGACGGGGAGGGATTGCATTGAATTAAAGCAGCGGGAGCAAACGCTTGCCGCGGGGAGGGAGAAAAAAAGCCACAGCGGAGAATAAACAGAAGGGTAACCATGGTAACTATGGGCGGGAAGTCTTCTTCGCTGCTTTTGTGGCAGACTACAGCGCCACTTACAGGCCTGGCATATGTACTACAGCGTCTCCAGCACTTTCAAGCGGCAATGGCCGGCCGTGGCCCAACCCCACATTCCCCTGATAGGTGGAGAGTTGGCCCAATAGCCGTAGTGCCACTTCTGTGACGACATAGAAGTGTTCAAATCTGGATCAGTCTGTATCAGATCCGTTGCAGCCCCTTTTTTTTTAGATTTGGGTATGGAGGAAAATAGAGAGGGTTGTGTTTTCTGACACTTGGTGAGTTCCCTGGAACACAGGGGACACATATTCATGTATAAAAGACGTACAAAAGTGCATTTTGCATGATAGGTCCCCTTTAACTTATTTCTAAACACATGCATTTTCACTAAATGTAGCTAAAACACTACATAAACAAGGTTACTAAGTAAGGTTTGTAGCAAAAAATGTCAGTTTAACGTTAAAGTATTCCTTAAAGGTTGCTTTACACATTCAATTTACAATAAAAAGTAACAAATCCTCATGTTAGAAGCTGAGAATCATCTCATATTTGGCATTCTTGAGTGAGAAATGACTTGTAAATAAGTAATTTAATACTCCATTGCTGTAGAAACTTTCAACGAATGTGTATGATCAACACTGATGTAGAACAGTGTTTTTTTTAATAGCACAGTGCATAAAAGGGGTTATCTGAACGTCACCTACAGTGGTGTAAAAGTTGTTAGATAGGCTAGCTATGATAGTCTAAAAAAGTCAAGGCTGACCTGCTGATTAGGAAAGTGGTAAAGGAAAAACATAACCCAAGGCCAAGGGCGGAGTTGACTTGGCCCCATCATGGAAAAATTGTGCAAAGTTGTAATTAGGTTTTGCTTTGAAGTAGCAGCAGGGTTCAGGTCAGCCTTAAGGATGCAGTTAACACACTGAAAGGAGACGAATTGTATTCATTAAGCCTTTTCTGCACAGTTGAAAACTGAGGAAAAACACTATCACTGCTACCTTTGCCCACTTGCTCTCACACTCTCACACAGACGTATTGCCACTGGCCTCACTTTAAAGCGCTATTTTCCAACGACACACACACATTATTTTGTCGCACCTGGGCATGGCGGGCTCCTGGACCTGTGCGGGCGGACAGCTGACGGGGGCACGCGGTCCAATTTTCGGCAACAGTTCTGCGTTGCTGTGGTAACCCGTTAAAACCACTCCCTGGGACTCCTGCTGCTGCCGACTCATGTTTCTCCTGCCTTTTTTCTTCTTTCACTGCTTTACACACAGCTGACGTCCACTCACTCACTGATAAGTCGTCTATCTATCTGTCATTATTTTGCATTGCTGGACTGTTATGTTGCCGAGTCATTATTATTCTGACATCAAACTCTCCCTCTGCTTCTCGTCTTTCCTTCTCCGTAACTTCTGTGAGGGGCGTGGTTACAGATACAACGCTTCACCGGGATTGGTTTAAACCGCAGGGGTGATTTTGTATTGGTCGTGGCGCCCCCTCCTGCTCAAAACATGTACCGGCTACTTCCTGGTGCAATGCTTTAATTATGGCTATTATAAATAAGTATTTTGGTGGGTGTTTACAAAAAAAAACGTACTTATACATAATGCACCTATTAATTTAGTTAACACATCAGCGTTTCATTAATGCACATCTTTGGAACTATACCTACTTAGCCTACAATGCATATTCTTACTTTGTACTTTAACCTATGCACACGTCTTGAAAAACCACTAACTGCACAGTTCTTTCATAATAATAATATTCATATCTTCATTGTAATTCTATTATATATGTTTCTTTATTTTTGAAATACTTGCTTGAATGTTTACAATAGTTTTTCTTATCATGTTTATGTGACTCACTGAAACACCAAAGAAATAAAGCAGATTCTGATTAAGACACCCCTTAAAAAGCTTTACCATACATATCCTTCCCCCTTTTTGGGTATGTCAAGTAGCATACAGCTAAAAGAAACAATAACATGTATAAGGCAAAACATAGTAATGTGTACGTCCAAGTCAATCCAAATATTCATGATTTTCACTTGCGGAGGGCAAAAAAGAGCCAAAAACACACAAGAAGAGAAGGTAGCATTAGTACTAGGGATGTCCCGATCCGATCACGTGATCGGGGATCGGAGCCGATCACGTGATTTTCACGTGATCGGGGATCGGGAGAAAAAAATCGGGGATCGGAATTTTTTTTTTTTTTTTTTTTATAAAATATTTTTATACATTTTATTTAATGTTACAAAACAAAAATAACCATGTTCACGTCTTAAAGTCATCCTGAGGCCTTAGTTTTGGGTTAAAATTACACATCATGTATGTGTTGCTTCTTTTGGGCTTGTTTTCATAGACCTGGTTGCTTATTTCTCTCAAATCTGGCAACAGAGTGGGCGCAGTGTCAGTAGCAGTAAGCTAACAAGAGGCTACGTTCAGCTGGTGACTCGGGAGTCGGGACAGAGAAAATGTCAGGAGTTTGGAAGTATTATAAAATTGAAAGCGAAGGCAGTGTAACAGCCAGATGCAATGTTTGCAAGGCGGAGGTTCCGCGTGGTGGAAAGAACAGAGCTACGTTCAACACGACCAATCTAATACAAACACCACCAACAACAACACGACGAGTACACAGCGGCCACTCAGGTAACGGTGTTACCGTTTAACTGGTGACACCGGGGAACTCGTGACGTTCTATAACGGCAGGAATGTGTCAGGGGCGTGTACTTTGAGGAGCCACGAATAACCAGGAAATACACATTTCGATCGCTTCTTCTGTTGTTTACATTTATCTTTTGGTATATTTGGCTCCATAGGAAAACTTTGATGCACATTCAGTACCAGTGTGTGAGGTTGTGGTTGCGATGCCGATATCCGGACGCGTACAGCGAGGACTACACAATGACAATGAGGTGACTGGGGATGTCTGTTCAAAACATTGCAAACGTGAATAAATCATTTCAAATATATATTTGTCTCCGACTTTCATTTGTACATCGTTGTTAATGTGATGTTTAGTAGCTTTGATAGCTGTCCATACCTTCAGACAGCCTAAAAGTAAGACACAAGTTGTTTACTCACAGCCCGAATGCAGCATCGAGGTCCGTGGCAAGCTGTGATCCTCTCCGATTAAGTTGTGACAGGACTTCTGTAGCTATTCTCCAGCGAGTAAGGTTTTTATTAAATACCTCCATCCCTCTCATCACAACAACAAGACTACACTGTGCAGAAAAAATACAAAATAAATGAAAATAACCTTGCTGGATAGCTTAGAATGAAACAAACAATCGTCCATGGCTGATATGTCACAGTAACGGGTAAACCACAGAAAAGTCGAGCGGGACACAAGTTGAATCCATATAATGAAATTGTTACTTTTTATATATATATATATATACACACACACATGCTATACAATGTGTTGCTGAAAATTGACAATTATTATGGCATGGAACAAATGCCAATCTTTGTAAGAATCTAAACACCCAAACACAGTGGCGGCCGGCCCATAGGGGCGCTAGGGGCGCCGCCCCCCCTCTTCCCACATTAAAAAAATAAATAAAAATAAAAATAAAAAAATATATATTTAAAAAAAAAAAAAATTATTTTTATTTTTATTTTTAATAAACAAGGTAAATATTATATAATTGGTATCAGTAAAATGTATAATCTACAATAAAATCTCGTTTAAAATTGTGTTACGATGTCTAAAGTTACTGATAAGTCACATGTTTCCTGCCTGGCCTTGCCCATGTATCATTACTCCCTCTCGTCTGGGCACTATGCACAGCGCCCAGACGAGAGGGCAGCAAGTGCAGCAGAAGCCAACTGTTGCTATCTTTAAACTATGCCGCCGAAACATAATTTCAGCCAATCAGCGTCGTCAAATCTGATGGTCACAGGGCTCCTACGTCAGCGCCCGGTGCAGTCTGTGAGTTGTTTGGACTCGTATCCAAGGAGACAAAACAGGAAGCTGTCATACACTCTGGAAGCTACCATTAGCAGCTAATGAAAACTCAGTTTTTGACATAAAATTGAATTATGGATCATCAATCATTTTTCAAAGTGACAGACACATTGGATTAACCTATGGATTAACCTTCAGCTGCGTTTTTCTCGTTTTTGATCAGAATTGTTATTCTGCAAAAGGTGAACATGTCTCCGTGTTTTGCTACCTAAAGCTACGTTGTGTGATGTCTGTATTTGCTTCCCCTGTCGCGAGTTCTGATCGCTCAGTGATGATACTTATATTTCTAGAATCTTGTTAGCATAAGCTTGTTTGTGCATATCCGATAAGTATATCGATTGATTTTTACCTAGAGTGCGTTAGCATTTTTTTCGCTCAGGGCTCATTTAGACGCTTCTTCTGAGACTTGTGTTTTGTTTCGGTAAACATGGTTCATATCATCAGTTAGCTGCGTTTCCTCTGAGTAGGACACATGAATAGTTTATTACATTTTAAGAAGCCCTGAGACACAGTTTCGTGAGAAAAAAAACGGGGGAAAAAAAGCCCCTTAACAGGTTAAATGGGAATTAAATTAAGTAATTTTGAGTGTTCCCAAAGCCCCGGTGTTCTGCAGTTTGTGTGGGCCTACTGTACTGTTACACAGTTTATGCTGTAGAAACTATGTCCAGGACAAGGTGTTTGGAAGTTTTGGAAGATTCATAGCTAACCACACTGAAGATTATGGAGGTATTGATCAGTCTTCTCATATTTTTAAGCCTCAAATTGTCCCTAATTTAGGGGGTCTTTTCTCAAAAAAAAATACCGGGGGAACATCCCCCTGGACCCCCCTAGTATTGTTTGATCACCATTTCCACAGCCCCACCTAAAATATTTTCCACCAGCCGCCACTGCCCAAACAGTAACATTAATCTGAAAGGGAGAGCAGCCATACACACAGAAATTAAAAGGATCTTGAACCCACTGTCTAATTTCTCACCTGAGATGAAGGTAGTAGGCCAGTCTGGAGACCATCCTGTCCTCCTGTGTCTGCAACTAGTCCTACAGTCTTTTAGAGAGCATGACCTGTAAAAGTAAAACACATTTGTATTCATCAATAGTTATGCTTTTCTAGTGTTAGGAAAAAATGAGTTTACCGACTCCATGTCCTATGCATGTGTTGTACTTTGATTTCAGGATGTATATTATAATTAAATCAGTCAATATGATAGGAAAGCCACTTGTCATTACAGGAAAAAGGGAATAATGATTGATTTAACAAAGGGAAAGATGAAGTGTTTAGGTAGAGTTCCCGCAACAGCTCTATTGGCCATATGCTGGGAGATAATGGTAAAACAATCCCACACTGGGACAAGACTGGGATTAGCCAAAGAGGTCAATGAGATTGTTCTGCTCCTCCATCTGCCCCTCCGCCCGTCTGATCCCCCGCTACTCCGTCTGTCTAGCCACTACAAATCTAGTTTCCCTCTGACTCTGCGATTCATATTGTTGCCTCACACAATATGGCAGCATGTTGTGAGGCTGGATGAGTGAAGTTAATGAGGACAACAATATGCCACTACAAAGGCAGGGGGGGTTACTAAAAACTGTAACTCTGAAAAACTCACAAAGTGTGAGCCCTGGTTAAAGTTTGGAATATCTTCAAGCATCATAATTAAACAATGAACACTTATTTTTTTAAATGGTTACATTTCCAAATAAACAAGAGATACATATATATTTTAACTTGGTTTTTCAGCCATTATGTAAATGCAGGGATTCTGTATACCTTTTGAAGAGGAAAGGTAATGCATTCAGGTGAATGCAATCACCAATCACTGTGACTGCAACCAGCATTAAATCACTAAGAAAGCCAATGATTGTTGTTCATTAAAACGCGATATACTTTTAGCTGCAGTGTATCAAGCAGTCAGACATTGCAAATAATGATAATGATGTTAAAAAATCTTTTTTAAATTGCTGATAGGACGTCAAATATCTAACATCTACATTTGTTTTGGGGGATTTTTATCAATACCAACATGAGATTTCACCAGTTAGTTCTTATTTTATAAGATTGAAGAACAATCTTATAAAATATGTGCCGATTTGAACACATTTCAAAAAGTGGATGAAACCAGGTTCCATATATCTGGTTCATTTTGTTGATACATAAGATTTAAAAGGTTTTTACAGAGGGAATGGATGCCTCTTTGCATAACTCTATAAATCAGAAAAAGTCAACAGCCATATAAAATTTCATGTTTTTAGTAATACAATGTTACGTAATGACTATGAAAATTATATATGAACACACATGGTCTCTGATGCATTTGGTTTTCCTCAAGGAAGTATACTGACACTCTAGAAATACATGTTGCCGGTTTATTTTTAACAGAAGCAAAAGAAGAAGTACTAACATATCAGTTATATTATTATCAACATGTACTT